TCATCTATTTTTATATCCATCCTCACATTGGTTAATTATGTAATATTACAGTTGTTTAATACAAATTCAACATTTTAATATAAATGAATTAGTTATATAACTATCTTTTTTGTATATTAATCAATATGAACATGAATATTCCAATTATTTCCATGCAATCCAATTTCTTACAAATCAATTAATTATATTTACCAATAATAATAAACCAAATAATTTCCCCCATATATTCTTCCAAACCACAATTTAACCATTTCTGCTTTCAACACAATATACAATTAATAGTATCTCAATTATTACAATTCCCTAGTTAAATACAGCTTTTTTTTCTTTTGTGTTTTAAAATCTTGAACTCTCCTCTTTTGCCCTAAATTTTCCATTATTTGCAGTTTTGCGCCTACCTTTTTTGGTGAGGAAAAAGAAAAAGAAATCTCTCTCTGCCTCATTTTGTCACGTTGCAGGAAAGACCCTGCTTTACTTTCAGTTTCGCTTTTTCAGCATAGCTAGGGGAAAACAAATCTGCTCGAGCACTCTTTGCAGCAAGCAAAGAGCTTGCAAAACAAGAGCTTGCAAAAGAGCCTGCGCAAAACAGCTGAGAGCAAATCAGCTGAGAGTTGGGAGGCCGATCTAATCAACTTGTGCTAATTAACCACTGCTGAAGCTGAAGGGCTGTTTTTTCTTGCTGTTTGCTTGCAAGGAGGTAAGTGCTGCGAGGCACAGGCCAAAGGGTGGGGGCCACCCTCCTTGCCACTTAGTCCCCCCTGCCATCCCCCTTGCCTCTTACCGCCCCCTAAGGCACTCCACCGCCCCCCAGGGGGCGGTACCGCCCACTTTGGCAACCATTGACTTAACTACTTAACAACCGGTTCTACCGAAGTAGAATCCCACCACTGGGTCTACCCATTTATTTTTGCAGGCGTCGGTCTACTCATTTGTTTTCTTTTAACACTGATCAGCTGTAGGGCGGCAGCTGCGAGGCCAATAAAATTATAAAAAAACACCGAACCATTTGTTAAATTGCTGGCTCGCCCACCCCTCGCCCAGTGGTGCGGAGGGGCGGGGCAAGAGGCGGGGTGAGCCAGCAATTTAACAAACAGTTCGGCCAAACCGCCTAGAACCGGCAGAATCCCACCACTGATGTGATCCCTTTTTGCAACCTTCTGACAAGCAAAGTCAATGGGGAAGCTAGATTCACTTAACAACCAAGTTACTAACTTATCAACTGCAGTAATTCACTTAACAACTGAGGCAAGAAAGGTCAGAAAATGGGGCAAAACTCATTTAACAAATGTCTCACTTAACAACAGAAATGTTGGGCTCAGTTGTCATAAATTGAGGACTACCTGTATATGGTAGGGAATTCTGATGTGAAGATATGTTAGGTTCTTGTGTGCAAATACAGCAAAGTCTTGGATGGGCTGTAAGCTAAATTGAGTGGTATTATATTACCTAACTGAAGGAAGCCATGATAGGAAGTATTTGCTTTGAGTGAAAGTCAAGCTTCCCTTCCAAAATGAACCATGGATAGTTAACAATTCTTTAACCTCCTTTTTCAATGCACAAGAGCCCTTGATCTAATCTTGATTTGTGGTTCTTCATTCAGTCTCTGGCTGATGCTAGATGCTATTTTAATTCTTGGACAGCTTCTTTGGACTTAACTTCTTCAGGTTTTTAGTCTCAGGTGGAACAATTTTATATCTTGTAAAAGAAGTTAAACTAATGTTATTATAAATTAGATATTTTTAATCCCACCTTTATTATTTTTATATATAATTCAGGGCAGCAAACATATCTAATACTCCTTCCTCTTCCTATGAGTTGATCTGAGAGAGAGTGCCTGGTCCAATATCACTGAACTGGTTTTCATGCCTAAGGCAGAACTAAAACTCAGAGCCTCCTGGTTTCTAGGCCAACACTTTAACCACTTCACTGAACTGACTGAATATGCCTCTATTTTAAGTTTAGGGTTCTGTATTAGGATGGGCTTCTTGCACGGGCTTCCCACTCACTAGAACTAATATTTGTTTGCTGATACTGTCACTTTTTAATTGAATATGCAACTAGGCATGTTTACATTCCTCGGGGCATAACAGCATTTGTGCAGTATCCATTTGAAGTAATGAACAAAGTTGTATTGTGTTAGTTGAGTAAAAAAGTAGTTGATCAACAAAGTACAGACCAAATGAGCTACAAGTCTTGGCCAAGTACAGATGTTTTCCCCATCCTCAGGATAAAGGGCATTCCCTACAGGCTCCACTCCTACTCTCCACAGAATGTCTGCCAGTTTCTCAGAGCTGAAGGGAAAAACTGGAATTTAGCGTAGCCCCTCTGCTTTGCAAGGAGAAGGTCCCAGGAGGGGCTCAGTCTTAAATCCTGGAAAATTCCTGGTACTGAACTGGATCAGCCCATGGTTAGACTAGGATGCTTCCCATTTTAAAATATGGGACACTTTCCTTGAAAAAGACGTACTTGTAATCTGTCTGCAAAGTTGATGTTAACAAAGAAAATCCAATATAATCTTCAGATGTTTGTACTATGTATCTGTTATGGAATACGACATTAAGTAATATAAATAACCATCCCAAAATGGACAAATGCCTTGTAGAAGATACACATGCAAATTACATTCACATCCTACAATGTAATTTTGTTCAGTCTGTAGCAATGCTTCTGATGCCAGGTTTGAATTGCGATTTCTTGTGACCTATAGTCAACCACCCTTTTCTTTAGATGTTGCCAGATGATTGTGAAATGCAATCTAACAAGCTTACAGTACATTGATTGACGAATTTTGTTTTATTTTTAAAAGTTATTTTTAAACTTTTTGTCCTGTCTTTGTTGTACTTATACTATATTCTTCCAAAGGGAATGCTAATCTAATGCTAATCTAGTGTGAAATGCTGAAAATTTAGCATAGTTTTTAATTACAGTTTCCAGCAGGAAATCTGGAATGCTTATGTAATGCACGCCAAATTGGCAGTGGAGGAGATGCAGTTTAGCCAAATGCAAGCTGAAGGCAATACTGTACTGTAATCTGTATCTAATGAATCTAAGTTAGCCTGGGAAAAGGCAGCACCAATCTTAATGCAAGCTCAATGAAGAAGCTAGACAAATATCCATTGGAAGCAAAACAAATTAATGCAGAAGTAAAGGATGAATTTGCATAGCCTAGCTAGGAGCAGTTGCACAGAAGGTTATGCAGCCAAAGTCAATGAACTGGTAGATAGATGTAAATAGATGTTCTATATGAGGTTGGCAATGATTACCCTATGTTCATACATGACATCTTATTATGAGAATAGAATAGAATAGAATCTAGTGTGAAATGCTGAAAATTTAGCATAGTTTTTAATTACAGTTTCCAGCAGGAAATCTGGAATGCTTAGGTAATGCACGCCAAATTGGCAGTGGAGGAGTTGCAGTTTAGCCAAATGCCAGCTTCCTCATTGACTTTGCTTGTCGGAAGCTGTCTGGGAAGATCCCAAATGGCATCCATATGACTGCAGGATGCTACAATTGTCATAAGTACGCGTCAGTTACCAAATGCTCAGATTACAATCACGTGATCACAAGGATGCTGTGATGATTCCAAGGGTTAGGACTGGACATAAGTCACTTTTTCAGTGTCATTGTAACTTCAACTGGTCACTAAATAAAGGGTTATTAAGCAAGGTATTGAGTAATGATGGCTAGCTATCTTTTAACTTGTCATTTGCTGCACATGGAAAATTATTCTATAGGAAGGAAAAAACCCTGAAGTTGCAGGTTAGCATCCATTTCTTTAAGCCATTGAGTTGGATAGATTGGACACATTTGGCATGCTGTTAAGCTCTTTGGACTTTCTTTTATCTGCCCTATGTTATATCATGAATCCCATCATGAGATAATGAGAAGTCAAAGGTTCACATGTTTCAAATAAGGTATAAGTTTCTTTTTCTGGTTGGCTTTATAGTTTTCTTCTCAGGCAAATATGAGGAACTGAATGTCCTTTCAGAATGAGGTTGTTTTTCCAGATTTCTCTTTAGGCAAAATACAACAAAGAGAAAATGCAACAGCTCTGTGTAACAACAGCTGTTGCCTTCAGTACTTAAAATCACAGAAGAAAAGACCTGAACTGAAGCAAGAGACATCTTAAAAAATAGAACTCTGTTCTGTATAAGAGCAACTCATGCCTTTAGCAATTAAGCAGTCTTTGAACATGACAAACTGTTTTAGAGAAAATCCCTCAATTTCATTCTTTCTGCAAATACTACTCAAATCCCAGAACACACTGTGCTTTCTGGTACTTCATGTCTAAGCAATTTCAAATATGTCTTTGTAAGTGCTAGCCAGAGCAATACACACATTAGTCACCCATACTTTATTCACACAATGTGAGCTTTGCAAAATAGTTCAGACAGGAAGCACAACCAACTTACTTTACTGAACGATTATAGAATCTTGCAAATCTGAAAGTCCATCTCTCCCCTTTCGTCTTTTCAGCCCAAGAAACTAGGGAGTGTCAAGTGCTTGGTGCCAGGTGCCAGATTAACTGGATAGTGAATCTCTCCAGTTATTCCTACAATGTAGAAGATTTGTGGCAAACCTTTCTAGCTCTATTGAATGGAGGAATTGAGGGAAACACATGTGAAAAAGTGGTTAAATTAGATGGATTTTTCATGAGCCATTAGCCACAATTAGCCATCCATGCCTTATGAATCCCAGACTACCAAACTATGGAGAAAGACCATCACCTTTGTTCTCTAGCATTATGAACTTCTCATTGGCCAGGGCCTTTTGGAAAGAAGTACAGCAATAGATGATTTGGGTTGATCCTGCTGGTAGGGTCCAGCAATACTCCAAATGCAGTATTCAGTTTGAGCCTAAAGATGTGGCATAACAGACTTGCTTAATACTGTATACAGTTCTGACAGACAGTTTCCTTTTACATAGAAATTATAACTGTAGTTCGTTGGAAATAATGTGAATAATAGAATTCTTAACGTATCCTACTAATTTTTCAGATTCGATTGAATAGTCGTGGACTTATCTATTCTGTGGGCTTGTTGCTGGCCTCAGTTTTTGTCACAGTAAGTATATCATTCTTTTTTTTTTTAAAAGGGATTGTAGACATATTGGCCATGAGGGGGGGGAAAAGTCTAAACTCTACAGAGGCAATACCTGTGGCTGATCTTAAAACTGTATCAGTACCAGTTCCTGTGTTTAGATGGAAAACAAAGGAGCATTCAGACCTGCAAATTGGATTTTATCAGATTGTACCAAGAATGAAGCTGAACAGTCTCTTAAGTCAGTGTGGTTGAGAAACATAATATGTGATATAATAAATCTGTTGGATTGTTCTCATAAGCATCTCTTTGTCAAGGAACTTAGGCCAGATGATTGTTTCTCTTGGAAGAGGAAATGCTGCTGATTTATAAGAGGGATTAATGGAGAGAAGATTATTCACATTGGTTCATGGATATGGGAGAGTCAGCTCTAGATTTATATAAAAGTAATGGTTTTCTTTCTATTTCTAGGTGTTTGGAGTTCATTTGAACAAGTGGAAGTTAGATAAGAAGCTGGGGTTTGTGTGCCTTTCCCTCTATGGAATCTTCTTGTGTTTCTCCATCATGACAGAATTTAATGTCTTCACTTTTGTAAATTTGCCTATGTGCAGGGATCATTGATCCTATGGACAGTCTGTTGAGAGGCAACTTCCTTCTGTACCAGTGCAATATGAAAATGGTTGGCATTTCCAAGCAGTATGAGGTCCCCTATGAAGGCTGTGAAGTTCAGTGGGGCCTCTTTTTATCTTGGCTTAGTCTCTTTCTAAGCCATCTTTTCATACATATAAATGCTCACCTGGAAACCACCTATATTGATGTGAAGATTTACAAATTCAGAAAGTCTGATGGGCAAACTAACTTTTACCTGGCTCTGAGCCAGAGAAACTGAACTATTACAGTTTTTTTAAGTTATTTGATGGAAGACTAATTTATGAATTGAGACTATAGCTAAGATACAAAGAAGAGGGTACATTGCATTGACTGCTTTTGGAGAAAAACGAAAGGAATTTATTTTATTCTTCTTTCCTAAGAAAGTTTCCTTGCAGTTTATCTACTTTGCAGAATATTACATCTCATTGGATGATTCCGATGTCATAAACAGCGCTGTGAGAACTGAATTCCAGGTACTTATTAACAAGAATGGACCTGTACTTTTCAGAAGTAGTACACAATGACTTCCTTAGGGAAGTAATGTATCCCAGGAAGAGATTTGGGAGGAATCTTAACTGAACTGTAGAAATGAACCTTGCTGTCATTTTATTCTTAACAGCAGAATGTGATCACTAGGTTGTTTAGAATATTTCCAAGCAATAGTTTTAGGCCTATCGGCCCCGGCAGACTCGAGATGAAGTCCTGGTTTTTAACTTGATTATTGCCAAGAAAACTACATGGATATATATCCATGAAGTCACCAGGAGCCAAATGTGACTCAAAGGAGATTTAACACTTTTTTTCCCCTTTTAATTTAAAATACAATGCCTGGACTAATCTGTTATGGGTTCTCGATGTTTATTGAGACTATTTCTTTAGCACTTTTAGATTGAAAAGTACTTTATGACCCTCCCTTTCCTCTTTATCCTGGCAACAGTTTGTTAAGGCAAGCACTAATAGTATTCCTGTATCTTAAAAAATAGTGCAGTTGAACAAGTCTGTATCCCCGCACATATCAACTTCAGGACTACATTAAGATTTTAACCAAAATTGTTTTGATACAAAACAAAATTTAGATATTTGGATCATCAGACCATCTATTAATGTATAGAGACTGGAGAAAAGGAAATGGACATAAAGGGACATTATTAGTTGAGAAGGCAATATAAGTACATGGCACATGTTTTAAAATAATTAGTTGAAGACACTGGTTTGTAAAAAGCATATTTTGCACATATATTATTGCTGATGTTATCATTTGCCATTCTGTGAAGGATACACTGGACCTGGGTGGGCATATTATTGTTTTTCCTTTTGTATCCCACTGGGTGGTTTGCTTATGCAAATCCTATTTTAGGAATTTTTGTTGGTGGATTCTTCCTGCTATTTACCACAAAATTGCATAGCACTTATTTTTAATTTTCTTGAACCTTGGACAGAGAGGATTAGATTTTGACAAACTGAGAAAGCTAAGATAAAGTCCCCATTCAATGTTCTGCTGTCTTTAATGTGATTTGCTCTATTCACTCTGGAAATCCTGAAGACACCTCAGCTTCCATGTAGACCTCATCCATCCCCATTACATTTTCAGTGATAAGAGCAGCATTCCTGACTGTCCCAGTGACATTTAGGCCTGGACTGTCCTGCTTTGTTTTGTTTGGTATATATGTATATGCTTTGTTTTACTCTGCTTTAAAAGAAGGATCTTCAGTTAGACAAATGTGCAAGGAAGATTTTATCTACATAACCCACAAAGGTCATTCTTAACGGAAAAACAGCAAGCTGATGCCTGGGTGTAAACACACCTTTCGATCTACCCAACAATTTATACTTTAGTGCTTCCTTATTTCAAATGGATTCCTTTTTGGGATCAATAGTATGAAATAAAATGTTGTGATTTGCAGTTTCCCTTTATCATAGCACCTTGCTTTTTCTTATGACTTCCATAGTTGAATTTCCCCTTGATCTAGTTAGTGTTATCCACATACGTGGCTAATTTGTGGCCAGCCAGATAGAATTAATTTATTAATTAAATTAATAATTCTATTAATTCTATCTAGAATTTATTAATAGTATTAATAGTATTAATAAAACTTAGTTTAACCAATAAAATGTTTGCTCTTTCTGTACCTCTCCCTCACACACATACATGAACATAATTTGCCAATTGCTCCCTTGTGCTCATTTTTAGTGTTTTCAAGTCTATGTCAGACAAATGCAATAAACTTGTCAGAAGTCATATTCTTACACTAATTTAATGTTCTAATGTATTCTGAGGGACTATAGCGGCATTCTAGATTTTCTATTTCTTTGTTAATTAGCTACTGAGCATCTAGGATGGCAAGAGCCATTTTGATGCATTGTTGAATGCATAGGACTAGAGGTCTATGGGTGGGTGATGGGTTCTGGTCATTTCTTAGGCACAAAAGCCAGCCGGTGACCTAGGGCCATTCATTTTGTCTCAGCCCTAGGAAGAGGGTAATGAGAAATCACTTTAAAAATGTCAAGGGAAAAAAACTTCGAAAAGATGTTTTTATACACTGTAGACAAATCATGACTTTTAATCTAGGGCAATCAATTATTTCACATAGGGATCTAACAGGATTTTAAGCTTTAAATTCAAAATAAACTCTTACAAAGGAATGAAATGCAGAAATAAATAAATAGTGGCAATGACTGTCTTTTCAGAGATTTTTGTCCACTGTTACAGATTTTTTTCATTAAAGATTGCTTAATATGCTGTTATGAAATCTTATAATATATTACTCTTACCATCCACCATGCCTTCTTCATTCTGTTTTTAATTAAATAATTATGGGCCTTCAGTATATTTCCTTTGATCAAACCATTTTAGCATCCAGAAACTTTTTTAAAAACATTCATTATCATCACTTCCTCTTTATTGTATAATAGATTGTATATAGAAATCCATTTCACATCATCCATATGATGAGGATGGGTTGATCCCATTGTCAATGCAACACAATTTATTGGTGAGACATACTGCTTCGGTCTTGATCAGCTCTAAATGATTCCCCTGGAATTTTCTATAACTCCCCACTCCCTCAAAACACAGAAAAACTATTTTTGAAACAAAATGGAACAGAATAAATTGAGAGCCTGGAATGTCACATACATAACAATACTTTGGAGGTAAAAATAGTTTGTGGTCTTGCACAGTGTGGCTACTAAAAATCTGGGCAGAGCACAGAGACATGTGCATGTTGCTGACATAAAATTCTTCATTTTGCATCACTGTCCTTATGGAATGTGAATAATAATCCCAGCCTAAATTTCTATCTTTGTATAAATGGAACACATGTTCATCTCTGCAACTATCCCTTCAACTCAATAACAATAACAGACTACTTGGAGAACAAAATAATATTTAAAGACAAATGTTAAATTGAGAGTTTACCCTAATTCTAACAACAGGTAAAAAGGTTGGTGGGTATTGCCGATTCTCTCCTCTCAGCTGTTCGCAACCTGGCATATCCCACTAGCCTACCTTCTCTCCATCTTCTCAGTGCCTCTGTTTGCCTCCCACCCCTCAGTTGCCATTGTCAAAGCATAACACACTCTGTCATCCCAGCACTTTTCTTCCTTTGGTCATTGAACTCAGGTCCAAAGACTACATATGGCCCTGGCTGCCACCCTGATCTTTTCAGCACATTCCCTTCACTCTCAGCCACATCCCATCTCCTTTATTTTAAAATTAAACCATGAAAGAATCTTCCCACCTAAGCTGGGAAGAGTTTTATTTCATTTACCAATTCAGTTTTTGATTTAGTACCAACTTCTCTAGGAAAAAAAAAAGATTGTGTTAGTTTCCCTTTAAACCTTTCACCTAAAAGAAATAAAAACAGCTGTTTTTTCTCTATGTAAATTTGTTACCAACTGATAATAAAAACATATTAGCCACTAGTACTTCTTTCTCTGCCTTCATTATTGATAATTAGGAACTTAATAAAAAAATATTAAGGCATTTTTGAGGGTCATGTTGGAGATGATATCAATTTATGTGACAATGTAATATTTAAAAAATATAAAGCAATAAAAGATGGGACTAGAAGATACTGTTTAAAACATAGTTTTAATTAGTCCAGGCTTTTCCATCATAAAAGTGAAAATGTTACAGTTTTGCAAATAGCAACTCTGCTCCAAGTTAAGTGACATGTTTATTTTATTTTTTTATACATAAAATAAGTAGAATCATAACATTTTCATTTTAAAATCTGTTTCTTTTTGCTGTAGGTTTAAAGTATATATTGTATGTTGCAAATTGATCTTATCTCATTTTAGGCATTGATGTTTTGCAAAAATAGTGTAAACTGCTTTGTTTTGTATAACCATGATAAAATATTTTTTCCAGAGCACACTGGATTCAATAAAATCTGCCTCCTGGCATCTAAGATGCTATCCCCTTTGATCTGTTTTCCAGTATCTGCCCTCTTCTTCCTTTTGTTCAAGGATGTGATAGTTGATGGTATCAAAGGCTGCTGAGATGTGCAAGAGACCTACTAGGACCACTCGTCCTGTGGGGATCGCAATATAGATCTTGCACCAAAATAATCGATCTCTATCCCATTTCCTAGCCGTATTGCAATAGGTCCAGATAAATTGAATTCTGGAGTTAATGATAAACTGAATAAGTGTTGTCTAAGTAAATTAAAATTAAAATTAGTGCTTTTATGCCAGTAAGAATTTAGGAGTGGGAAAGAAATTAAGAATGTTTATGAGGCCTAAAGCAATTTGCCCACAATTCATTTACTCCTATCTGCAACAATAGCAGCAGCCCAGAAGTCAAGAGTCCTGAAGCCAGAGTTGAAGACAATCTTTGTCCTAACCCCAGGGTCCTTGATAACAAGCACTTTCAAGTGGTTTCCCCCCCCCCCCGATCATAATTATATATAACTAAAGACCACGCAATAATGATTATGACAACTCATATGATGTTTCATATTAATTGATGGTTAAAAAGAAATCCTGTGACACACACACACCCAACATTAAGTAAGGAGAAGAAAAAGATGTAAAGCCTCCCTGCTTGCATTTATATCATTTGTTTCAATGATCTGGTTGCCCTTAAATGAGTAAGGAACAAACATTTGGAATGTCAGATTGGTTACACATTGTAGCCTCATCTCTACAAAATGAGAAATCATTACATCCATCGTACAGGAAGGATGATCTGGATTGGGAATGGAATGGAATTTAAAATAGAAATAGGAATAGGAATTGAATTGAATTGAATTCTGGCTTGGGAAGACGGCTAAATTGATGAATTATTTTAAAAACAATTTTATTGATTGCTTTAAAAAATAGAGAAAAACCAAAGGGGAAAAAGAGACAATCCCATAATGTTATCAGATTTTCTACCTTGAAGTCTAAGCTTAAAATAGTTAATCCAAAGAACAAGAATCTAACAGTTCTGAATAATAGTATTTGTTAGAAAGAAAGTTAATGTTACAATATAAGTATCCCAGGCATGTGAAATATGTAAGAACTGCAGGGCAACAAAAGTATTGTTGGTTTCCTGCCACTGTTCTGTTTAAATTAAAAGGATCTTGACTATAGGTGGCACCTCTGTTTTGATTGCTGTCATTCCTATCAACATGAGTAAAGCCTGATAAACATCTGCTCAATTCATGCATATAGATACACCATATATCTCCCCCCACCAGCCTATTATCAGAAGATGACTGGGATATTATATTAGGGGAAAGCTAGGCATGAAAGCATATCATTCTTCTCTCTAAATGCCCCTTATTCTGATTATATTTTAATAAGATAATTAGACAAGCAATAAATATGCTGATCTGTCATTCTAGTTTGGTCTTAAGCAGGAAGCTTGAACTAGCCTAGCTATTTCCCCTACCTTGTACCACATCACAAATTACTATTTTTTATTTTTTGTTTTTGTTTTTAAATTTTAGACAAACACACATACAAACATACAATGTATTTTCTTTGAACAGAGTATTTGGCCGGTTCACAAATTTAAACAGTGTTTAGTCATTTCAATTAAATTTACAATTTCTATATTTCCTTTTTGCCGTATTTATTCCTCATCTATTTTTTAAAAAAAACAATATTACCCTTCATCCTCATCTCTAATCTTACTCAAATTCAATTTTTCCCTTTTTTTAATAAAGTTTTTATTTTTAATTTTCATAAACACATTTACATAAACAGTCATTTCCATCACTTTTCATTCATCTTTTCTTTTAACTCTCATTTTTCATTTTTACTTTTTCGGGGCTGCTCTTTTACCCTTTACCTTTACTCCAACCTTTCTTCTTCTCCTCCCCTTCTCTTCCTTCCTATTTCTCCTCCTACTTCCTTCATTCTTCCTCTCCTTCTCTTTCCTACTTCCCCTTCTCTTCCCCCACTCCTCTCTTCTTTCCCCCTTCTAACCTTCTCCTCTACTCCTCTTTACCCGCCCTCTTCTTCCTCTCCTTTTCCCTTTCTTCTTTCTCCTCTTCTCTTCTCCTCTCTTTTCCCTTCCTCTCTCTCTACTCCTTCCCCTCACAAAGTAATCACAAATTACTTACGGAAGTCCCCTCTTTTTCAAATACACTTTGCTACATAATATAATAACATAGGTAGAAATGCTGTTCTAGGAACAGGTCACAAATCCTGTAGGTCTGCCTATGGAATTCTGGGAGTTGCAGTCCATGTATTTTAAAGTTGTTGAGACTGGCAAATACTGATCTAAGTCATATATCTTTATTATTTTGTCAGGCATAATCTCTGATAAAGACTGGAATGAGCAAGCAGGTAATATTTTTCAAGTTTGAGAAAGGGAGAAGCAGTAGGGATTCACAATTGTGTAAGTGTGAGATAGAAAAAAGAAACTGAAGATAAAAATAGCAGTTTCCACACGTTTCTACAATACAATAACACAAGAAATAGACATATTTTTCAATAAAAGCAATCATTAAAGGTGTGCGCATAAACTGTCTCAGGGATTAGAGCAGAATTAAAGACAATTCCCCAAGGAACTCTTTTTTTCAGTTCATCCTTGACAAATACTAAAAGGAAATATGAACTAAAATACTTTAATAATTCATATGCTTACATTTCAGGCAGTTCTGTTGGAATTAAAGCCCTATAATCACACATCGAAATTAAAACTACTTTCCTTTGTCTGAAACATTGTAGGTCTTACCAAATACTTATCAAATAACAGTGTGATATTAAGCAATAATTGTATCTTGTACTTGGCCAGTCAAACTTCCTATCAAAATTACACAGCTCTATTATACATACATACGTGTGTGTGTGTGTGTGTGTGTGTGTGTGTGTGTGTGTGTATATATAATATGTTTGTGTGTGTATCTTAACACACACACACGCATTACAGAAGTGTCACATTTGTATAATTGCTTTGGATTGAATATTAAATGAAAAACCAAACATATTATTTCACAAGAGTATAGTTAAGGGGGGGGGGGAATATTTTTGAAGCATAATACACGTAGCAGAAAAAGAAAATCAAATCTTGAGGTGGTGCAAAGTTGAAACCATTTAAGACTGAAGGTATGAGGTACAATTTTTGCATGTCTTTCAAATTCCAAGTTCTCTCAGAGGAGGGAGAAAAGCCCTATTTCTTTTAGAACATTATATTCCTGTCTATTCTTTTTTGTGATCATTTTCTTCCTTTCTTCCCTGGAGACCTTGGCCCATTTTATCCCTTCACTCTTATTTCATCTCATAGTCTTTTTAGATAAGACCTATGCCCAACAGACTTAGATTTCCCTAATTTGCTTTCTAATATAGATTAATGCAGTCAATACATATTGGTATCATTTACTAAAACTGGACAGCACTTCAGATTTCATTCTAAAGATATTCTCCCAAGCATATGAACTCAGCACATAGCTGCAACTCTTTAAAACCATTATATTTTCCCCAAGATTATGTAGCTGCCAGAAAACAAAAACTGCTTTAAAGGGTATAAGCAGATATTGTGTTCATGTCCTCATATTTCCATAGCACATCACAGTCCTATTATTTACCCACTGGATTTAATGGTGGAGGACAGTTGAAGAACCATCAAGGAAGAGCTAGAGAAGAGCCAGCTGTGATTTATCCCATAGAAAAATAGAGGTATAAGGCATCCTAGTGAGTAAAAGGTGATGCCTCTTTCTTTCCTCTCCTCTGTTCCTGAATATTGTACTCCCTTATTTGTACATATTAAAACTATAGTAACTATGGTGTCTTTCCACAGATGCTCTTAAGATTTTGGTACTTTGCTTGCATCCTGTTTTCTTCTATTGACCTTCCTTTGTATCTTCAAATGTATTGTCTCACACTGAAAGTGCATGTTTAGGGTGTAGCTTTAGATTGTACAAAAATACGTAGAGCAAATGGAATTAATCTATTAGTTTCTGTTATTCTACTAAGAGATCACAGACTGAGCTGCTGGTAGAAAAGAATAATTCTGTTCTGTATTTTCATAACACTAAGTTTCCAAAGAAGAAAGTGGTATTTCCAAAGTGGAGTTTGCACTCAGTATATATAAATTAATCTTGTCTATATAATTTACATCCACTTTGTCATACAAAATGAGGTATGCTATTCCCACCTGTTGAAATAAGACATAGTACCCTGGCTACTGATAATCCATCTGGATGACTGCAGTTTTTATGAATATTTTATGTTCTTGAAAACTGGAGATCCTATACCAAACAATATTTAAAACAAACCAGTTGTGTGTACAAGTAGTTGGACACGTTTTTGTCCTTATTTTTTTAAAACTGAGAAACATAGATTTATATTCAGGTTTGTACCTTGAACTTTGTATTCTCACCCCATGGTAGCTGGCTGCCATTTGAATTTAAAAAAATAGTTTTGGCTGCTAATAATTGCTGTCAGCAATTGAAAAGCCTAAAAATGGCAATGATGAGTTTTTCATGTTTTTATCAGGCAGTAAACTGGTAATCTATCAGCCCATTGCGTGTATAATATATCAGATCTAATTGGGTATAGCTTACCTTTGTAATTTTTATAGTATTTTCTCATTAGTAGAATTACTGAATCTAAACTCTTTCTTTGAATACAGTAGAAGATTTAACTTTTTGTGCTGGTGCTTATACAATTATCCATATATTTATTGTATTTATTTTTCATTGAAAATACAAATTTTGTATCAGGGAAGCAATCTTTATTCCAGAAGGACATAGAAACTGAAAATGAAAATTGACTAAGTGTTTATTTTGTAAGAACAACACTCCAAATGAGCCATCTGCTTTTGTGCTTTCTATAACAAAAGTTCAATTGAATCAGCTTATATACGAGGGTTGTCATTTGCTGAGAGGTTCTCCTGCACAAACATCACTGATATAAATGAGCAGTGTGCAAGAAATTAAAGCAATGACTTTTAGGTTACCTATTATCATTTCTGAGCTGGTCTAAATCTATTAAATTGTCATATTTACTCTCATACTTTAAATAATGTATATATACATTTAGCCTATAACTGGCACATCTCTCCTTGGTGCACACTGATTGTACTTTTGTTCTTTTTTTTATAAGCAGCACAAGGTAATAAATGGCTCAGGTTTTGCTAGTACATTTGTGTGTGCATGCATATGTTTATACCAGGCACCAAATGGTCACCTGTCTTTAAACCTACAGCCTTTTCCTGTGATCCTTGGTGTTTCAATAAAGATAGAAAAATACATTAAACTAACTCATGTTTTGGGCTAATTATTTTTCTATGGGTTTTTAATTTATCACTAAAATAAGAAGAAACTCTTACAAACTGCTCTCAAGAACTGTATCTCAAACAATGGCAGAAATATTGGATGTGGAGGAAATGTGTTTTCTTTGGTACTGATGAATATCTTTTCCTTTTCTTTGTAGACACAAACTAATATATCATCACTTTCCAACTTACTTTGCAGTTTTTAAAGTACCCACAGGCTAGAAAGGGCATTGGCAAAGTGGAGCAGGTCAGAAGAGGGCTACCATAACAGAGGCGGTAGACACGCTGGTGCGCTTATGCACACCCCCTTACAGACCTCTTAGGAATGGGATGAGGTCCACGGTAGACAGTTTAAGATTAAAGTTTTGGGGGTTTGAGGATGTAACAACAGAGTCAGGTAGAGCATTCCAGGCATTAACCACTCTGTTGCTGAAGACATATTTTCTGCAATCGAGTTTGGAGCGGTTTACTTTGAGTTTGTATCTATTGTTTGCCCATGTATTATTGCAGTTGAAGCCTGAAGTAGTCATTGACAGGTAGGATGTTGTAGCAGACAATTTTGTGTACTAAGCTTATCTGCCTGTAGGTAAGGAACAATAAAGGAAACTGCTTAGAAGTAACTGTGTGTGTCTTTCTTGGCTTTTGGAACCTGACAGCAATCTTGCAAAACTAAAGCAATTTTGCATCATTATACTTTGAGAACCTCTAGGGAGCAACTTAAACATCAGTGTCTTTTGGTCCTCTGTAATGCAATTCTTCCCTCCTGGGAATCGAGACGTATTGGTTAACAGGCTGTAATGACATAGCCTGTTGTCATTATGATAGTTCCATCCTTCCTGTTGCAACATGCCCAGAAGATAGTGCTGCAGAGATTACTGTTCAATTTTGGATCCCTGTCTGATGGTACCTGAACTCTGTTTCCTACTTTATTTAATATCTACATGAAACTGCTGGGGGAAGATCATCAGGAACTGTGATGTCATTATTGTGTTGACGGAACCCACTTCCACTTCCCTTATCTTCTTACTCCAAAGAAACAAGCCTTGAACATTGCCAACTTCAAATAATAGACTGAAGGAAAGAGAACAAGCTAAAATTAAATGAAGATAAAATTGTCAAGTGGTGTTGGTAAAAAGAAAGCTATATTCTGAAATTTAAGTAAAATGTGTTGTAGATTGGATTGCATCTCTCCCATCCCTCAAAAGAGAAGTTTGTCAGCCCTTTGAGATATACTAGCCTAGGAAATCAAAGTTACAAATGCTGACACATGGAGAAAAACACATGGAGAATATGCGGCTGCCTTGGGCCAAAGATCAGCGAGCACCATCCTTAATTTTTTTCGCACAAAGGGAGGATTTTATGTCCCTGCCGCAATTAAGCTTTTTCTGGCCAAGTCGCTAGCACAGCTTCTTTATGGGACTTTGCTCGGACTGTCAGCTTCATGTTTTACACCATTAGAAATAGTTCAATCCAAATTCATTAGATCAATTCTCCAAATACTGTGTTGTGTCTCAAATGCACTTCTGCACCTGGAGACAGGATTGACAAAAGTCGAAGCAAGAATCTATATAGCATCCTTAAATCTCTCGCTAAAGCTTAACTTCTTTCCACAAGGTCTTGCTCCATTAATTCTCCAAGACAAGTTCTCTTCATCATGGAACAACGCTGTTGAGTCCAACCTTGCCAAACTAGGCTTCTCCCCAGCTTCAATACTCAAGATGGACTATTACCTAGCAAGACAAATCTTGCTACAAAGGGTGGAGGACATTGAGAGGCAGGCAGACTTAGGGAAAGCTCCGCTGTTTATGGCTCCAGATGCCATTAGATGTGTTGTTGCTCCTGCCAGCTATCTTAGTCAGTTGGAGTCAGCAAACCACCAGAAAGCATTTTCGCTCGCACAGTGCCATGTGCTTCCATCGGCCATCCTATACGGCAAGTACAAAAGGATACCATTGATGGAAATAGGAGAGGTGGATACTGTGGGTCACATGCTCCTTAGATGTTCCTTTTACACAGAGATTAGGAAAAAACATATTCTGCCAATAACTGCAAGGTATCCTGGCCGTTCCAATACTACCTATCTTCTGTGGCTGCCTAAGGGTGAACAGTCCATAATTACAGCGCAGGTGGCCAGATTCTGCACAGAAGCACTGGGGATTCATTGTAAATATGTGTCTTCTCCACCATAGTTATGTTATATAACAAATATGGCAAACCCTATGCACTGCTTAGTCTTTTCCCTTTTAGCATTGAACCTACAACGGGCCACACAGTTTATGGATTGTAATTTTACTATAGTTGGACCATGTATAATTGACAGACTGGATTTTATTATAGATTTTAGTTGTTATTTATTATTTTATACTAGAATTTTTAATTGTATATTTACTGAACGTTTTTATTTGTTCTGGTCCTGTACAGTCTCTAAGACTGTAATGAACTCGGGGGGGGGGGGGGAGGAAAGAATGCTGACACTTACATGGTTATACTAACAGAATCTTCCAAGTTAGAATGCATCTTTCCCCTCCCTCCTTTTATCTTCAAGAGAATTAGGGAGAGTCACGACTGAGACACTTTCTCAAATTACATTCCTGCCTTTGGCTGAAATATGTCTGACTGTTGCCTCCTTTTCCTCAAAGATATTCCTACAACCCTTTGCAGAGATTCACATCCCTTAACCCCAGGTGTAATTGGATTTGCAGCATAATTGTACCAAACATAACCCTTCCTGAGCCAACCAGGCTTTGTGACAGTTCCCCATGCCTCGGTTACAACCTGTCTCAACTATTGCAATATTTTTCATTTGGGGATATTCTAGAGAAAGAATCAGATAATTGCAGTGGACACAAAGTGCGGTATTGTTATAATAACTGAAGGATCTGCACAGGCTACACCTTATCTGTTGAGCATAATTCATATTGACCATTCAAGTCCTCAACAGCTTGGGGAACTGATTATCAATGATATATCCTCTGCCTCTTATCAACTGCCTCTATCCAGCCATGAACTTGCCCTGTCACTTAGGCTAATGGGATAGCTTCTTCTGAAGATGCCAGAGCCTGGACTCTCCATTACACAAAAAAGGCTCTCATGTGGCCCCTAAGCTACAGAATGTACTCCCTAACTAGATGTATTTAGCTTCAGTCTGCACAATATTTAGGAAGATGATCAAAACACATCTCTTTCATAAGCTTTTAATTGTTAATTATTTTAGTGATTTGGTTTATCTGTAATCTCAATTGTAATAATTTATGTTTGTACTTGGTCTGTTATTGTTGTAAGCCAGTGTCAGAATAAGCAAAAAGGTGCAGTTTAAATTCAATAAGTAAAATGAAATTCAATCCTCTTTGAAGGAGATTAGAGTGCTATACAGTCCTTCCCTCTTTATTAAATTAACTTTTAAAATATTAAGAAATGAACTTGTTTGGGAGCTTTTTTTTTTTCCCCAAGGGGGAGGAAAGAGAAAGAGAGAAATAAAAAGACATTTCCTTGTTTTGAAACATGTATAAAATAGAGGACAACATGCAGGAAAGTAACTTGGTTTTCTTCATTTTTTTCATGTATTACTGGCACTATTTACTTTATTAGCAAGGCTTCCTGAAAGAAAGAAAGGTGGAATACATTTGTATATGAAAGCATATAAATGCATTCTTAAAACCCTGTTAAGCAAGTTAGCCTGAGAATGAATGACTAGCCACGTTTTGGCTGAACACGATTTGAAGAATATCATCCTGATTTTATTGAATTAAATAACCAGGTGTTTTGGCTGTTTGTGACTTAATACATTGTTTGAACTCAAGAATTGTGGTTTATAAATTATGGATTCTGACTTACATAATCAACTCAGTCACTGTAACACATTTATGTATTTAAAAAGTCAATGTTAAAATAGAACATTAACACAGTGAGTTAACTCATTAAGAAAGCTCTGCTCACAATCTTTTGTTGCAAAGATAAACAAGCTCTCGTGTTTGGATCGGTTACCACAATTGATAATGTTTTTCAGAAGGGTGACTCTTCCCACTTTTAGCTGCTAAACCTGGAACAAAATTAGTATTCAGAGGAAAATGAAGCACTTCACTCTACAATGCAAAGCTGTCTCTGCTAGGCAACCAATTTATTAGAGGAAAGGAAAATGTTCTCAAATACAGAATATGCATAAATCTTTGACAAATAAATATGGCTTATTTAGAACTACAGTATCTGCTATGCTGTCTTTGGAAAAGCAAGCCATTTTGTGGCACAAAAACTCTGGTATAAAGATAAGAAAAATGCTCAGAGAACACAGCTCAAAGGAAATTATTCCAATTGGCACAGCCATATATTTTCAGAGTGTTAGCATTTGTAGAAACTAATAATAGTTATAAAATACAACTTTTGAATGATCTTTTCTTAAAACATTTTTGTATTTTTATAGCTATATCTTTGAAAGTGGTAGGAGTACCATTAGTAGAAAAACTCATAAAATAGATCGTTAAATAAAACATGATTTTTAAAATCAATTTGCATGCTGCTTTAAATACTATAGCAGCATCTGTTAAGGTTTACCAAGTATCGCATGGTGAAATTTCACTACTTATTGCTAAGAAAAATAATTGGAAGTTATGAATTTATATTTACAGAGTGGAGCTATCAGTACCAATTTTCCTGGTGAATTCTCTCAATGGGCCAAGACAATTCCTTCCCCAATTAATTACATTGTAAACTCAAGGAACCCTTTATATAAAATATATAAATCGACCTGATTGCGCTTCTCTTCCTAGCATCTCAGTAATATGAGCATTTAGTAAGCTATTTCTCGAAATGGCTACTGTTGCTAACATTCACTTTGATCTAAGGTCAAGGCTGGTTTGTGTTAAATGGACCTAAGAGTGCAAAGAGGGAAATCCTGAACTGCTCTTGTCGAAGGTAGCGTCTCAGACTTACTTTACAATAGTTGAGGGTAGACATGAAAACTACATTTTATAGTATAGAAATTAATCAGT